ATCTTCTTACTTTAGGATCCTGGAATCTGTTAGCCATCTACCCATCTTCTGGTTTAAGATCATTTTAACTTAATGGAGAGTACCAATAAATAGATTTCCTCCAAAGTTGATTTTCCTACTTTCTTCAGTTACAAGGCCTGTAGCTGCTACTGCCTGAATGCACTTAAGCCAACCTCGAGTTTCAGGATCCAGAAATTTAGATAAGAAGGTCATGGGTTGACGTTGACCCCCATGTTTTTGGTTAGCACTCCAAGGGCAACTCCCTTGTATACATTTACAAAGAGGCGAAAAGACTGTTCAAGAGAGGTCAAGGCTAGCACCGAGGCTGTGATAAGGGCTTGTTTTAGCTCATCTACTTGTTTTATCTCTTCAAGGGTCCAAAGGTGGAGGTCTGGTCTCTTGGGTCAACTTGGGATACAAAGATTTAGTTTTAAGGGCATATGAATCTATCCACAACTAACAATATCCCACTAAGCCAAGGAACTTCTTTAGTTCTTGTTTTCTTCCTGGGAGTGGGAGAGTAGTGATTCCTTGTGATCTTTCTGCACCAATACTTCATTGGCACTTACTGATCAAATGTCTCAGATACTTCACTTCAGTCTCAGCAAATTGTAATTTATTCTTTGAAATACAAAGTCTGTAGCTTCCCAGGAAATTTATGAAGCTAATGGTTGTATTAATCACCTCCCCCATTTATCTCCTGACAAAAGTAAATCATCCACTTATTGGAGGAGATACATGTTGGGGTCTAACTTGAACTTTTCTAAGTCTTGTTCTAAAATCTGGCCAAAAAGATGAGGGGAGTCAGTAAATCCCTGGGGAAGGACAGTCCACTTGTACTATTGCTTGCGTCCTGAGTGGGGGGGGGTCTTCTCATTCAAAAGCAAAAATGTCCCAACTGTTCATATCCAATGGGCAGGCCCAAAATGCATCCTTTAAGTCTATCACACTAAACCACTTGTGGTCATATGGAATTTTGCTGATGAGATTGTAGGGGTTCAGGACTACTGGCTGTTTTGACAGTTCTAAGGTCTTGAACTAACCAGTAGGACCCATCCATCCTTTTGTTGGGAGGAATGGGGTATTGAAGGTAGATGTGCAAGGTTCAAGGAGCCCATCTTGTATCAGTCCCTCTGACTGGTTTCAAACCTATCTTCCCCTCCATAAGAATAGGGTACTCTTTCCTCCTAACAACCTCTCTGGTCTTCTTTAGTTGAACTTTGATGGGTGTAACTTGGAGGCCACCCCTGTTCCTGTCTCTAGCCCAAACTATTGGCTTGTTCTGCCTCTTAGCCTAAGGGGTAAGCAAATTTAGGGATGCTTGTATTCTGTCTCTTTTTACATGTAAGCCAGTTCCTAGTTGGGTCATTAGATCTCTCCCAAACAGATTGGTACCCACCTTGGGGACTAGGAGAAATTGTATCTTAGTGGTCCTGTTTTGCAAATAAATGTCTGTTTCCTGTAATATTTGAGCTGGAAAGCTTTCTTCTTTTACTCCAGAAACTAACAATCTCTCCAGGGAATAGATTAAGCCCCTGGGCAGAAGGCAGAGAGAGGAGCTGAGTTAATCAAGAAAGTGAAAATTTCATGTTGTGGTCCCACTTCTAAATTTGTCAAGGGCTCTGAGTGGGACCCTTCAATGTGGAACTCCCGTATTCTTCATCAAAGGTCATCAAGGGAACTGTTTCCCTTCACACTCTTTCCCATTCTAGACATTCTTAAAGTGTCTAGTCTTTCCACATTTCAAGCATTTATTTTCCCTTCTTTGTTCCATCCTCTGATTTCCTGGTCTCTTAGACCCTGATGCAAGGGGCCAGGCCAGTCAAGGTTCAAGAGGGTGCTGTTTGGCCTTACCCTGTTAACCTGTTTGATAGCAGACAACATAATCTTTGCTTTTTGGTTTTGTTTTTCTTCATTTCTCCTTATAATCCCTCTCCTAATAATTCCTCTATAGATCTATTTTTCCAGTTCTCTAATTTTTATATATTTTTTTGTTATATCTGGCCAGATGTTTGTAACAAAGTGAAACTTCAAAATCTCCTGTCCTAAAGGATCTTCTAAAGCTAATCCAGCATACTTCCTCATCAGGTCCTTTAAGCTGCTCATGAACTCAGCGGGTCCCCCATCCTTCCCTTGTCGGACATTAAAGGTTTTAGAGAGGTTTTGTGACCTTGGCACTGATTCCCGGATTCCCCTTATTATTAAATCTCTCAAGTGCCTCATATTTTCTTGATGTTCTGGGGTGTTGTTATCCCCATTGGGGATCTTGATTAGAAAACTTAACATCAGCCACTGGGACACTGTCCTGGGGGATGTTCACGCTCTCAGATAGCCATTGCTGCTCTGTGGATCATGGCTCTTTCCTCCCCTGAGAAGAGAATTCCCAAAATAGCCATTAACTCAGCCCAGGTATATAACTGTGGTCCCAGAAATTGATCGACCTGTTCTGAAACCCTGAAAGGATCCTTGAGAAGGGGTCGCATCTCCTTTTTAAAATTTTGGATCTCAGAGCTGGTAAGAGGGGTGTTTATGAATCCAATTTCACTTCCTCTGAGTGGAACCTCCCTGAGGGGAAAGAGGGAGTGGGGTTTTTCTCTTTCAGACTGAGGAAAAAGGTAGATTCTCAGTATCTTGATGACACTGTTCTAATTCCCTTTGAAGTCACAGTAGAGAGGGCTTTCGGGCAGGGGATAAAGAGGTAGGGAGTTGAAGAGAGATGGAGTAGAAAGGCTTGGAAGGAAAGGTGGGGAAATGGGAGCTTGGGGTAGGTGGTATAGGGGCCGATGGTGCCTGAGCCAGAGGAGCAGTGAGGTTATGGGGGGTGGGGAGGGAGGAGAGTAAATCGCAGTTAAGAGTTTCAGGGTTTTTTTCTTCTTGTTTTTTTCCCCTTCTCTTTAGGTGGAAACAGGATTTTGGGACTCTGTTTCCAACAGAGGGCATATTCCATCTCCTCTTAAGTGACTGGGTTCTTGTCATTTACATGTTCAATTAATAGTTGGCAGACCCAGTCCTCATCAGACCCAAATTTTGGCCAGATAACTGAAAGCTTTAAGTTCAGTTCTTGGATCCAGATAAAACAACAGTATTTGACCATTCTTTGTTTCTTTTTTTTAACTCTTTAGTACGGAGGCTATCATTCCAATATTTTAACATATTTCCTAAGGATCTTTCAGAGGGTATTTTATCCTGATTTTTGTTTGTTGGCCTCCCTCTTTGCTGCCTTTATTTCCCATTTCTCCATTTTGGTCTACTGCTCTGGCTGTCTATCAGGAGTTCAACCCCCCCCCCACCCCCGTTTTGCCTTGGAGTTTCTTGCACTCTGATTCTTTTTCACTTTGTCCATCTCCAGCTGTGTTCCTTGCAGGAACTTGAGGTATCTCTTGGCAGCTGGTAGGTCAGTATAAACAACCCTTGACTTGGGATAGATTCAAGAATCTAATTCTGCCTTAAACTGTATGAAATTGCCACGGAACCATGGATCAGGACTCCACTTTCACTTCATATCACCCAACATGTCTCATTCACACATCACATAGCCTCCAATATTCTGTGTCTTGGTCTGTGCACAAACCTACATGGTTGCTGTGGTCCCTGTCTTCAGAGTTCTTTTAACCACATTGTCAAGAAATCCTGGAGTCTGAGTTCATTTGTGGATCTGGATTCTGGAATCTGAGTTCATTTGTTGTCACCATTAGCTGAACCTTGGGGCCGCCACAACCAGGCAACAGGATGAGTCTGCCTGGGAAAGGGCTGGGGTCCCCCTTCCCAGATGGAATGTAAAATCCTGGCCAAGTCCCCAAATTGTTGAAATTAAAGATCCTCCAGTGCTGATAACAGACACATGAGAGACAGAGAAAATCTTGGCAAGGCAATTTCTTCTAATCAAAGGGTGAAAGTACACATTCACTCCAGCTGAATGGACACATGAGCACAAAATGGCCAACAGTGGCTCCTCCTTATATCCCTTGTACCTACCCCTTACCTGGGATTTGTCCAGGTCAAAGGTTCACAATCTCTCCTGATTGGCTAAAAGGCTTGTGGGATGGGTTAAGGCACAAGGTTTGGCAGGGAATTTTCATGGGCAGTGGAGCTGTACAAGAGTCTGCAAGAAGAAACAGGAAACTTTTAAACAATAAAAGCCATCCAAGATGGCAACATGAGGAATTTTAGGCAATCTAAGAGGGCGACATATACTTTGATAGAAAAGATCATTTTTCTTACAATTTCAACCATTGAAAAAACCCTATGGAATCTTGGGAGGCATGAAATTTTCTGATTTATAAAAATGTATATAAAGTTTAAAGGTTGTATAATAATGGTATTATGCTATAGAGCTCAGGGTTGGGAGAGTTTCAAGTTCAGGCAATGGTATATATTTTATCAAAAAGTTAAAGAACAGAAACTGAAAAGGATATCAGATGTTCTTTAATATTAGATATTTAGATAACCTACATTTAGATTACCTGGATTACTTGGATTTCATATTGGATATTAGATTACCTTTGATAATGTAATTTCAGTAGATTGTTGAGGGAAGAGTCAAAAAGAGAATGTGCACTGGGCGCCAGTGGCTCATGTCTGTAATTCTAGGTACTCAGGAGGCAGAGATCAGGAGGATTGTGGTTCAAAGCCAGCCTGGGCAAATAGTTCTCAAGAGCCCATCTTAAAAAAACCCATCACCAAAAAAAAAAAGAAAAAGGTTGGTGGAGTGGCTCAAGGTGTAGGTCCTGAGTTCAGACCTCAGTACTAGGGAAAAAAGAGAACATGGGCAGGCAACAAATGATTCAACAAGATCATAATTGGTATTAGACATCAACAAGATCCCGATTTGTATTGATATTTAGGGTATATGTAACTGTGAGCTTGAAAAGTTACATACTAATGACATACAAAATTAGTAATTCACTATGCACATAATATAGTTTGACTGTTGAAAATTGTATCAGAAATTTAGATAGAAAATGTAATACTTCTTTTCACATGTATATTTTGAAATTGAGGTTCCCAGACGTCAAGAGGATGAGCGGAATAAAATTTTTTTGGAACTAATGCAATATGACGAGACAGGAAAATTTCCTACCTTGATAGGGAGTGTTGAGGTACATCTTTATCAAATAATTCAGGTATGTATGAAAAGAAGTCTTTTCACCTTTGTACCACACTGTCCAGTTGTTGGTTATTATGATGTATTGTACCCGATGGACTTCTTTTGTTTATCATCTACCTTCAAACTCATGTGCTTAGGAAACAAAGTTTTCACTAAATGAAGATAAGTGAGTTAAATGTCTGAGAATTGCCAGAAAGCCTGAGGCTTAAAAGACGGAATTTTTTACTCCCATGTGAAATACTATGATTTGAAAGCAACTGAGAGGAGTGTGTAGTCAGCGCTTCTGCTGACTTTGAGGTGTGTGGTCTTTGGAGAAGGAGTGCTTTCTTGTGAGGGATCTCTTGTAGAGAGAAACATCATAACCTCTGTGGTGAGCAAGTCTCAGGGAAAGCAGATGTGGAAAGAATGTTTCGTGAAGCAGTTAAAGATGTAAGGTTGTTTGTTAACCATAGAATTGGTAGTAGTGAAATTGCTGGAGAACCATGGGATGTTGGATTAACTAGTTAATTCATAGGACTGCAGAGATGTCCACAGATGGTGACCAAGGATACCAGAGATTTACCTGGTTTAAAAGATCCCAACAGTCCCTAGGGGATGAGAGAGTCACTGTCTTGTCAGGAGTCAGTTTGTTTTGTATACTTATGTTTAAGTACCCCCTCAAACGACTGTTAGAACAACATGGCAGTTGTTCTAAGATTTCCCAAAGGGGAGCTGTAACTAGCAGAAACATTTTGGTCTAAAACACAAATGCAGACATTAATGTTTGTTTGTTATTGCACCTAGAATTTTTTTCTATCAAATACTCATTATGTTTATATTTTAGTTATTAAATTCATATGTGTTTGAAAAATGATTACCTAATTTTTAGTTGTAATATAGTTTAGGTAATATACAAGTAAATACATGAATAATTTTGTATTTAAGACTTTTGTTACTTATTACTTTTTTTCTAGAAAGGATGTTTTACTGAAGAATTACAAATACTACATGACAACACAGTAAGAAGTTTACTGAAACTTCCTAAGTTTTGTGCACATGTAATCTTTTCTTAACATTTCACAGAACTTTATTCTGGTGGTGTTTGTAACTTACACTTTTTTATTCTTTGTTACCCTAACAGTCACTGTTTGAATTAGTAAAAATGTATTAAGTAGAAAGTACATTATTTGCTCACAAAATATTTACCCTATGTTTTCTGCTATATCACTGCTAAATTGTGAAAGAGAAAATTAGAAATCATTGGGCAAGAGAGTGAAATGCCTCTGGCTGCTTCTTTGACTGCAGATCACTGCTGAATTGAGGAAGTATTTTACTGCTGGAGAGTTTCTGAGTAGCTATTTATAGCTCTTAATTTCTTTTTAAGTCCTTGAAAAGTACTAGCTTAATTAATTGATCTTCTGTTTCAAGAGACTTCTCATGGTCAAAACAGGCAAGGAACATAAGGTCATCACACCTGACACTGTCCTTCACGTCACACATGAGCAACTGGGGGTTCAGTGAGGTGAGATCACTTGTTTAAATCAAAACTTTATCCGAGGGCTGAGAGCATGGCTCAAGTGGTAGAGTGCCTGTCTAGCAAGCAGCAGGCTGTAAGTTTAAACCCCAGTGCCGTAAAAAAAAAAAAAAAAAAACAAGAAACCAAACCAAACAAAAATTAAAAAAAAAAAAAACTTTATCTGAAAACAAGGGTGGAGGTGAGGGGAATGTGAGTAAATAATGTAAAAAATAAATACATATATATGAGTGTGTATGTATTTATGGGTCAGAATGAGCATAATCCTATTAACAATTCTAAGTTGATATCTCCCATATTTTTATCATATAGTATTAAATGAACTTTAACATGAAAGGATCTAACATTCCAGGACTATAAAGATTCTTATGTAGGAGCTTTTTGTATAAATGCTTTCTTTTTTAAAATCGGGAGATTCATACTTTGACTTTTCTAACTTATGTATTTATGAAGTAAAAAAATAACACTTTTTACCATTTCCCCAGGAAGATAATCTTTTTTTTTTGGTGGTGGTACTGGGGTTTGAACTGAGGCCTTGTGTTTGGTAGGCAAGCACTCTATTGCATGAGCCACTCCACCATCCCTTTTTTGTGTTGGGTATTTTCAAGATAGGGCTTCTAAACTGTTTGTCTAGACTGACTTTGAACCTTGATCCTTCTGATCTCTACCTCCTGAGTAGCTAGGATTACAGGTGTGAGTCACCAGCACCTGGCTAAGATATTCTGATCAAACAAAAAAATAAACTTGCCACTTGTTCAGTTTGTCTGCAGAGTGGATGTGGAATTTATGTTCTCCTATGGAAACTTTGGTTATGGATTTTCACATCAGGTTAGTTCCCTTTTATAAAAGTTACTTTATTTTAGTTTTTCAGTCAAATCACTTCTAAGCCTCTATTTCTCCAGTTTGATTTTTTTATTTTGGTGATACTGGTTGAAACCATAGCCTCATGCTGGTTAGGCAGGCACTCTATCACCCAAGTCACCCTGTTAGCCCTTTTTTTTCATTGGCTGTTTTTGAGATAGGGTCTTGCTTTATGCCTGGCAAGCCTGGGCTACATAGTGAGATCCTGTCTCAAAAAAAAGTGGAGTCATTGATGTTATTTGAATATTATTTTGTACTCTGACTATGCATCCTCCTTTCCACTGTGGTTATTTTCTACATCTGGTGATATTTGAACCCTCCTTGATTTAGCTAGAGAGTAATACATCCTAACTTTGGCTTGCTCCTTAAGTTTACTATTGTTACTAGAGTGTTCACTACTGTTACCCAACTCTGGGAGGTCCCAGCAAATTAGGTGTGACCATTTACTCCAGAAATAAAATGGAAAAGTAATGGTGGAAAGGCAGGAAAGGGATTTAATTTTCAATGTGATTGTACTGGAAAGATGAAGGAGACCAAGCAGCTCAGTCCGTTTTTGGGTTACTGACATGAACTTTAGATTTAAATAGAGGAAGCATTGGGGCACAGGGTGAGAAGTATACATAACTAGCCAGGCGCTGGTGGCTCATACCTGTAATTCTGTCTACTCAGGAGGCAGAGATCAGGAGGATCATGGTTCGAAGCCAGCCCAGGCAAATAGTTTTCGAGATAGGATCTCTTCACGAAATTAGGGCTGGTGGAGTGGTTGAAGGTGAAGACCCTGAGTACAAACCCTAGTACCAAAAGAAAAAAAAAAGAAGTATGCATAATTAAACAGTCTAGGTTAAACTATGGTCTGGCTGATTTTGATCACTACTGGTTCTGCAAGATGGCTCTTGAAGGTTCTTACAGTCTGAGTCCCATGGAATGTTCACTCCTGCTTAGGGAGGGGGTAGCCTTGGATTTGGTTACAGGGTAATTGATCCCATTTAGGGGGTGATCTCATTATGGGGCAATCTGTCTATGAGACTGCACTGTTCCTGGAATCCAAGGTGACTGCAGGTTTGGAGCTGGGATTTAAGACAGAACACTGTAAAAGCTGACAGTTCAATGTCCCTGCAGATCTTGACAGATACTCCTTAAATGATTCACATGCCTGGGTGCATTTGAGCAGGAAACTGACCCAAGGTGAAGGAGATAGAGACATAATGAAGGAATGAAGGCAGAAGTGCCAGGCTTTTATCCTGCTTTTAGTTACTTTTGAAGGTCCAAGTAAGGAATCAATGCTTTTTAGCAAAGCAACTGTTGTCTTTGTTACTCTACCATATATCCTATTGCCATGAACTTTTTGGGTACTAACCTATGTCCTTCTCTTTTATTACGTCCTTAGGCCAGATTTCTAGAAAACCAATTATTGTTGAAACAATGACTTTTTCAAGGTATTATTCTAGAAAGTTGTATCAATAGATACTTTCACTGAGAAAGAACTCTTGATGTCCCTGATATTATCATAGCTTTGGGATTTAAAAATCCAATCCTATTAGTGCTGCTATCAAGGAGAAATGATCCCTATACTTTGTATGTAATCTTTCATTTCAAACTTCTGCTGTTATTTTTATAGTCTTGGTGTTTTTAGATAATTAATTGAGAGTGGAGACATCAGTCTTATTAAATAACTACTGCTATGTTAATTGAGAAATCTGTGTGCTTTAAAATTTTGCCTATAGTATATCATAATGGTTTTTAATACATTTTGAATCAAAAGTAGGTAATAGACCTACAGTGGCTTATGCCTGCAATCCTAGCACTCAGGAGGGGGATATCAGGAGGATCACAGTTTAAGGCTAGGCTAGGTTTAAAAAAAGTTTGCTAGATTAGTTCTCAAACAAAAAAGTTGGGTATGGTGGTGCATGCCTGTCATCCCAGATATGTGGAAGTGTAAATAGGAGGATCCAGGTTCAGGCCCTATTTGAAAAATAACTAAAGTAAACAAGCATGGCAGCGTGGCTGAAAGTGGTAGCGTGCCTGCCTAGCAAGTGCAAAAGAGTAAGTAATACAGAGATAAAAGCCATAGGAAACTTTTTTTTCCTTCTCTGCTTTGATTTTTATTTCTTCTGCTATTTTCTTTATTTTGTTCTGATAAATTAAGCCTTATAGGAACTCCTCTAATTATTAGTCCTTTTTGTGACAGTCATAGATAATGGGCATCAATTTCAGAGGTAGGTTTTGTGCCCAAACATAAGCCTAACATGTAAATGTAGCCATTCTTAATGAGGTAGATCCTTTTCAGATAAAACTAGGCAAATGTTGTCTTATGTAGGTGTTTTCACTAGAAACAAGGAACAAAGGTATTGTATGAAAAAGAATGGGTATGTAATAAGAGTTCAACTTGATTTTATGCCTGTGAGCCTTTCAGTGACATAGTCTCCTAGTTACCTATCCTGACTCTGTACAAAGAGCACCACATTTGGAGCAGGAAAAGCTGCATTTATACCCTGGCTGTCATTGAATATTGTGTAACCTTGAGCAAATTACTGATCTGTAATCATGTGTAAAATAGGAAGTTACCTACCTCATAATTTATTGAGAGGATTAAGTCCTATTAAAGGTATGAACTGTTTAGAAAATATTTAGTACTCAATAAATTAAGTTGCTCTCTTTATTCCTTTCTTCTCATTTAAAGACTCTACCATAGTCTTGAGGAATTAGTAATACTAGAGTGAATTATAATTAATGCTAAATTGTGCTTATGTTTTTCTTCAGTTAAAACCTCTTCAAAAACATATTCAACCATCTATGTTTATGAACATTGCACCACCTCCAGAAAGAACAGATCCGCAGACGTAAGTGTTTTAAGTCTCATTAATATGCTTAGATCATGTGGCAGTAAAGACTTTGGAAGAACATTTTAATTATCTTAAGACACCCTAAGAACATGACTAGAATGGGCTAGAGTCTGAGGTAAATGGTGCACTGAATTAATTTGTTTAATAAGGTGGGACAAAATTTGAATTTCTGTGTACGGCCCTGGAGAAAGGAGGTGAGATCTAGAGATAAGAGAGGGAATATTGCCTTCAGGGCTGAAGGAAGGGATGGGAGTGGTAGCTTAGTGAAGAAAGTTAGCTAGTGAGATACTCCTTTTGGAAAAAGAGGTGAGGGACTGTTTAAGGCCAAAGTAACTAATAGTTGTCAGTTTTCTGTTTTTCAGTATAGTAATGTTACTCTTACCTCAACACCAATCTAATTGCTACTTCCAAATTAGCAGTAAAAAGTCTATGATAGGCTGGGGTCATGGATCAAGTGGTAGAATGCTAGACCCTGAATTTAGTCCCCATACTGAAAAAAAAAACTATGATAAAAAATGTCGCTAACAAATGAGAAGTAATTTAAAATATAGTATGCCAGTCAATATTGAAATTTTAACAGTAAAAATAGATTCAAGAAAAATAAGCACCTGAGAAAGAAATTTAAAAGATTATCCAAGAATTAAAAAATGAGAAAAATCTGAAATAGTATTGAAATAATTAGATATGGGATAGAAAATTGTGCTCTGAAGTATTTATTTTCCTATAGTCTCATCACTGAGTGTCACAATACAATACATTTTATCCATTTGATAGTAGTTTTTTTTGGAAATAGTAAAGTTGGATTTTTTCCTTATATTTACTGACTTTTTTCTCATCTCCATCCATTGATTCAACAAACATTTATCAAATGTCTGCCATATCTCTAAGATAGTGCAAATATCAAGATAAATGAGATCTGGTTCCTGATCTCAAGCTTGTGGTTTAATGCAAATGTGACATGCAAAAAATAATAACTTCTGGGTACAAGTGGTTCATACCTATAATCCTAGCTACTCTGGAGGCAAAGATCAGGAGGATTGTGGTTTGAGGTCAGCCTGGGCTTATTAGCAAGACCCTGTCTTGAAAATATACAATACAAAACAGGGCTGGTGGAATGGCTCCAGCAGTAGAGTGCCTGCTAACAAACATGAGGCCTTAAGCTCAAACTCCAGTACCACCAAAAAAATAAATAACTATTATTATAAAACAAATGGATAAGAGCCCATCAAGAGTCAAACATAAAGAAGTATAGGACAGCCAAAAGCTTTTAATTCTTCTCAGGAGAGTTAAGGAAAGAATTATCGGTGAAGACTCCATAACAGAAAGAATGAAGTGGGGAGATTTGAACAAATTGGTAGTAGTGTTTTGACTGATTTTAGAGGGGTAGGGGGACACAGTCCCCAAAGGGGACTCATATATAATAGCAAGGACTCCTAAGTTATGTTGTGAGAGTGAACAGTCAGCAGTTGACTGAGTGGCTAAGAGCAGAAGAGCAAGAGGAGATGAACTTGAGGAGTAGGGAGAGGCAAGATACAACAAATAAGGATTCAGGCTCTAGAGTTAGACTGGATAGGGTCACATCCTGGCTCTGCCATGAGCTAGCTGTGTGACCTTGGGCAAATTACTTAGGCTGTTTATCCTTTATTAATTGAATAGGATAAAAGTTAAAGCTATCCAACTTAGTTGCTATGATAACTGAACAAGGTACAGAAAGCCTAAAGCCATGCTGAGGTTATTTCCCCAGTTCCAGAAGGTATAAGTGGAACATATAATGCTCAGTAGCTGGCAGAATTCCCATACTGGTTCCCTAACCTGTGGAGTGAATGACTTCTGTTGTGGCCAAGTAGAAACCACCATAACCACCTCTACCTAGGAAAACAATGAACCAAAAGTAATCTTGTATTCCTGGAGGAACTGCAAGATTAATGCCATCATTAAGGATTTGAAGAATGCAGGGTTGGGGATTCTCATTCCATCTTTATTCTGTTTGATTTGTGCAAAAGACAGATGAGTCTTTAAAGAACAGATTCACAGAGGATTATTGTGAACTTAATTAGGTGGTGACTAATTGCAGTTGCTGTAGCAGTTGTGGTATCATTGCGTGAACAAACTAACATGTCCCCTGGTATCTGGTGTACAGCTATAGATCTGGAAAATACTTTTTTCTCCATAGTTGTTAATGAATACCATCAGTAGTTTGCTTTTATCTGGCAAGGGGAACGATATATCTTCAGTCCTATGTCATACTGTAGTTCCCAGGGATCTTGACCATCTTTTTCTTCTGTAAGATATAGCACTTGTCCATTACTTTGATAAAATGCCAGTTGGATCTAGTGAATAAGGAACAACTACTCTAGATTTTTTTGATAAGATTTTTTTTTTGTGTGTCTTAAGAGAGTGGAGAAATAAATATAACAAAAATTTGGGAGCCTTTTACTTCATCTTCCTTTTTTTTGCAGGGGGGAGGGAGTTACTGGGGTTTGAACTCAGGGTCTTATTCTTGCTAGGCAGGCACTCTACCACTTGAACCGTGCCTCCAGTCCCTGGAGGCCTTTTACTTCAGTGAAATTTCTAGGAGTCTAGTGGTATGGGGCACATTGAGATATCCCTTATTAGGTGATAGATAAATTCTTTCATCTGACCTTTATACAAACAAAAACCAAAACACAATATCTAGGGTGCTTATTTGGATTTTGGAGGTAACCTATTCCTCATTTGGCTGTGTTCCTCTGTCCCGTTTACTAAGTGACCCAAAAAGCTGTTAGTTTTGAGTAGAGCCCAGAGCAAGAGAAGGCTCTTCAACAGGTCCAGGTTTCTGTGCAAGTTGCTCTTCCATTTGGCCAGTATAATCTGACAGATCCAATGTTGCCTTACATGTCAATGACAGAAGGAGATACTACTTGGAACCTTTAGTAGGCCCCTATAGGTAAATCACAGACAAGACCCTTAGATTTTTGTATAATTTTGGGAAATAGAAAATGGTTCATTCTATTTTGGACATGTGGCGTTTAAGTTGTTCACCACTATGCTTAGTAGACTAGTGTTTAAGAACATGAGCTTTACAGTCAAAGAAACTGTGCTCAAATGTTATCTTTGCTACTTCTCTGTAAGACCTTGAGGGGAGTTGTTTAGTTTCTTATATATAAAGTAGGATCTAATAATTCTCATCCCCTGGGCTTGCTTTAAAAATTGAGGTAATGTACATAGTCATATGAACTCAGTGCCTGGCACACAGTATATTTCACAGAATTGATTGTTTTAAATACTGAGGTACTCAGCAGAAAGATTTGACTGAAAATGGTGGGAGAGAATTCTGGTCCTCTCCTTTTCCATCCCTGATCCCTATGATCTTAGTAGGAAGAACAATCAAGAGAGCACTTCTCTCTCAGGATTTCTGACTCTTCTCTTCTTTCTTAGCTCTGTCCTCTAATGGTCCAAGGTGGGTAGGTCAGCTGAAAGTACCAAAGAGAGGAGTAAAAGCTACTACTGATTTTAAAGTACACTTTTGCATAATATCAACATTTAACTTTATTACCATTTTGCAGAAATGTTATTACACCACAGCCAGTAGAATATCCAGCATTCTTATCTCCAGACCTGAACGTTACTATTGGAACTCGAACTGATGTGAAACACCCTAACCAGACACCTGTAGTGCGACTTGAAAAACTTCAGCAACAACCTCGGGAAAGGTAAAAGGCACAAATTTCATTCATGTGTTATTTGTATTATAACTTATTTTATTCCTTTGAGCCATGAGTTTCTGTTTGTCTAGAAATATTCATTGTGGTATAGTTTCATGGGCTCAGATTATTTTTTAGGAAATTCAGATGTTTTGTTTGAAAATATCAGTGTTATGACAAGAAAGGAGGTGAAAACTCATTTATAAAGAAAATATAACAGTTGTTCTCTTCACTCAACAATGCAGTCCATAATCTCAGGCTCTTTTCTGTATTTCTCATTCTTTTTTCTCTATGCTTAAGTCTGGATATTTTCTAGTTCATTGAGTTCTTGTTTCTAATCTGCTATTGCATTAATTAAATTCTCAATTTCAATTACTTTCTTTTTCAGTTATGTAATTTCCATTTGCTTGTATAGTTTCTTTTTTTGTGTGGTGGTACTGGGGTTTGAACTCAGAGCCTCAGGCTTGCTGGCCAGGCTCTGTACCTCTCGAGTCACTACAACTCATATATTTTCTACTTCTCTGTCCAGATCCTCAGTCTTGTCTTCTAATCCCTTGAACATACTAATCATTGTGTTAGCCAATTCAGGCCATTATAAAATACCACAGGCTAGGCTAACTTATACTTTAGATATTTACTTCTCATACTTCTGGAATCTGGAGGCCCAGAATCATTGTGCTGGTTGATTTGATTTCTACTGAGGGCCCTCTTTCTTGCTGTATACTTACATGTTGGAGAGAAAGAGAGAGATTATCTCTCTTATGTCTCTTCTTGTATGGGCACAAATCCCATTCATGATGGCTCTACCTTCGACTTCCCAAGGTCCTGCATCCAAATATCATTACAGAAGAGATTAAGGCTCAAACAAATTAGTTTTAGAGGACAGAAACATTCAATCCAGAGCAATCATTGCTATTTTAAAGTCCAGGTCTGATAACTTCATTGGATCTCATGTAAGTCTATTCCTATTGCTGCTTTTTTCTCTTAGTTTTTGGTCAGTTCTTATATTCTGTATGTGTAGTTGTTTTTACTAGTTGTAGACACTGTATTTAAAGATTTGTAGAACTGATCTGAGGCTTTTGACCTAGACTCCAAAAGAGATTGCATTTGGCAACTAGCTAAGCTAGGAGCACTAGCAATCTCAGATCATTTCAAGGCAATTGAGATTGAGACTGAAGTGATTTGAACCTGGGCTTTAATTCCTAGTCTTTTCCTGTTTTATTCTTACTCCTAGTACCAGAACTGGAACTGGTGGGGGTCAATAGAGGCAACCTGGTAATGGCCCTCTCATAGCCCTCGGAGATCCTAGCTGAAAGTCTGCTTGTTTATTGGGCTTATCATCCTCAGAGAGCCCTGAACTCTGGTTATTGTTGTATACCTTGTATACCTATCTTAAAGCTCTGCTCATCTCACCATCTTGGTCACCACAAGTGCCTTGAAGAAAAATGGCACCAAGTAATGGACTCAACATCTCTGGAATCTTGGATCTGCAAATTCTCACTCTGTTTATAGCTCATTGGTGCTTCAAACACAACTTTAGAACATTTTTTGTCCAGCTTTATTATTGCACAGTGAAACAGTTGGTCTGAAATAACCTAGCAGTCCACCTGAGCATTTAAAAACTATGTGTATACATATTTTACTCACATTCATAAATTAATTCATGAACATGAGCTGAATGACCAAGGAACTCCTTCTAATCTGATGTTTTATTTAACAAACATTTATCAAATACTTAATGTGTGACAGAGACTACCCCTAAGTATCAGATATACAATGGTATACCCTTTTTTTCAATAGTACTGGGGCTTGAACTCAGAGCCTCATGCTTGTCAGGCAGGCACTCTACCAATTGAGCCACGGCCCCAGCCCTTTTTAATTTAGTTATTTTTAAGATAGAGTCTTGTATTTTTCCCAGGCTGGCCTGGAACATGATCCTCCTATTTATGCTGAAATAACAGATGAGTGCCACCATGTCTAACTATTAGTTGAGATGGTGTCTTGCAAACTTTTTGCCTGGACTGGTCTCAAATCACAAAGTTCCATTCTCCATCTCCTGAGCAGCCAAGATTACAGGTGTGAGCCTCCATGTCTAGCCTGAAATGGTATGTGTTAAGAACCATAGCATCTTTCTTCAAAGAACTTAAGATTCTAAGAGGTAAAGATAGAAAAATGTGTAAACATGCAGAAAACAAGTTAAATAAATCCAAGGGAATATGGATAAGCAGTTCAACAAGGCACAGAAACAATTAGATGAACTCAAAGAGGTTACAAACATCTGAATGAAATAAAGATACAAAAAAAAAAAACAACAAAAACCAGATAAATGAAGTAAAACAACACAAGGCATGAAAGAGGAAATTAACAAAGAAATAGAAAGTCTCAAAAAAAAAAAAAAACCCAAATGGAAATTCTAGAAATAAAAAGCTCCTTAAGTCAAATAAAAAGCTTAAGTCAAACAAAAAATACAGTTGAAAGCCACTCCAACAGACTGGGACAAGTGGAAGGCAGAATTTTAGGACTTAAAGACAAAGCAGATATACTAGAACAAAACAGATGAACCCAGAGACAGTAATGAAGAAGTATTAATGTAATGTGCAAAAACTCTGAGACTCCATGAAAAGATCAAACATAAAAAGTATGGGCATTGAAGAAGAAGAGATGCAAGCCAAAGGAATAGGAAACAGATTCAACAAAATAATTACAGAAAAGTTCCCAAATCCTGAGAAAGAGATACCCATCCAGGCACAGTAGGCCTTTAGGACACCAAACAGGCATGACCAAAATAGAACTCTACATGGTATATGATAGTTAAAACATCATGGAAAGAATATTGAAATCTCCAAGGGAGAAGTGTCAAATTACCTGTGAAGGTAAAGCTATCAGAAAGCAGATTTTCAACAGAAACCTTAAAAGCAAGAAGGGCATGAAAAGAAGTATTTCAAGTATTGAAAGAAAATAATTTCAAACCTAGAATACTCTACTCAACAAAGCTATCATTCATAATTGAAGGAGAAATACAGTCCTTCCAGCATTAAACAGAAACTAAAACAATTGATCATCAATAAGTCAACATTCCAGAAGATACTCAAAGGAATACTATACATAGCAGATGAAGATAAACATAACCATAAAAATACATGGCATGTATATATATATATTCATTGGGAATAAATGAATCTCACGAGATGGAGAAAAGCAATTGTAGAGTAGGAAAGAATCGAACACACACATCAAAAGCAACAAAATGGCAGGAATAACGACAAACTCTCAATATTAACACTGGTTGTTGATTATCTCAACTCCCCCATCAGAAGACAGACTGGTGAGCTGAACTGAAAAGCAAGGCCCAATGATTTGCTGCCTAGAGAAAATGCATCTCGCTGACAAAAAAAATAATGGTTTATGGTGAAAGGGTGGAAAAGTATTTTCCAAGAAAATGGTTCCCCAAAACAGGTAGGGATAGCTATACCTATATATGTTAAAGTAGACATCAAACCTAAATTAGTCAGAAGAGACAAAGAAATAAAGGGTATAATACATCAAGAGGAAATAATAATTGTTATATGTGTCCAATGTTGGTGCACCCAACTTCATTAAACAAATATTACTGGACTTACAAGCACAGATAGATCCCAATACAATGATAGTGGAGACATCAATACCCCCAGTTACCAATAGATAGGTTATCCAGACAAAAAAATCAACAAAGAAACTTCAGAATTAAGCAACACTGTAGACCAAATGGACTTAACTGATGTCTGCAGAGTATTTCATCCAGGAGCAGCACAATACACATTCTTCTCAATAGACCAATAAACTTTCTTCAAAATAGATAATATTTTATGACACAAAGCAAGTTTCAATAAATATAGAAAAATTGAAATGACTGCCATACCCTGTCTGACCACAACAGAATAAAATTAGAACTCAAAGCAGAAAATATTCAAACACATTGAGACGGAACAACATGTTGCTGCATGACTAGTGGGTCATTGAAGAAGTAAGGGAGGAAATCAAAATGTTCCTGGAATCTAATGAAAATGAAAACACCACCTTCCAGAACCTCTGGTATACAGAAAAGGCAGTGCTAAGGGGATAATTTGTAGTTATTAGTGCCTACATTAAAATGCAGAGAGAATTCAAATAAGTGACCTGTTACTGTATCTCAAACTCCTAGAAAAATAAGAACAAACTAAATAGCAAAACTAGTAAAAGGATACATATAATAAAAATAAGTGCTGAAATCAATGAAATAGACACCAAAACACTATACAAGGAATCAGTGATACAAAAAGTTGGTTCTTACCTGCCTAGCACACATGAGGTCCTAAGTTCAAACCCCAGTAATGCAAAAAAAAAAAAAGCTAAAAAGTTGATTCTTCAAAAAGACAAATAAGACTAATTAAACCCTTAGCCAATCTGACTAAAAGGAGAGAAAAGACAACTTAATAAAATTATAGATAAAAGGGATACCAACATTCCTCAGACTTTTCCATGAAGTAAAAAGGGAAGGAATACTATCAAATTCATTCTGTGAAGACAGTATTACACTATACTCACCCGTAGACTGGACAAAGACACAACAAAAAAAGAGAATTATAGGCCAATCTCTATAATGAACATGGATATAAAAATTCTCAATGAAATACTGGCAAACTAGATTCAACAGCATATCAAAAAGATAATACACCATAATGACCAAGTCAGTTTGATTCCAGGGATGAGGGCTGGTTCAACATACACAAATCAATAAATGTAATATGGCATATAATAGAAGCAGTGACAAAAATCACGTGCTCATCTCAATAGATGCAGAAAAAGCCTTGACAAAATTCAGCATCTCTGGGGTTTGAACTCAGGATCTACACCTTGGGCCACTCCACCAACCCTTTTTGGTGAAGGGTTTTTTCAAGATAGGGTCTCATGAACTATTTACCTTTCTGGCTTGAAACTGTGATCCTCCTGATCCATGAGCCACCAGCACCCTGATCAGCATCATTTATTGATTAATGTTCTGATGAAACTAGGAATAGAGGAAATATACCTCAACATAATAAAGGGTATATCTGACAAATCTATAGCCTGAGTCATACTGAATGGGGAAAAACTAAAACCTTTTTCTTTAAAGTCAGGAATGAGACAAAGGTATCCATTCTCCACACTCTCATTCAATATAATTTTGGAATTCCTTACCAGAGCAGTAAGACAGGAAGAAGAAATGAAAGAAATGCAAATAGGGAATAAAATCAAATTACCCCTATTTGCAGATGACATGCTTTTATATCCAAAAGAGCCTAAAAACTCCACCAAAAAACTCTTACGCATCATTAACACCTTCAGCAAAGTAGCAGGACACAAAATAAATATACAAAAATCAGTAGCTTTCCTATGTAACAACAATGACCAGACTGAGATAGAATTTAGCAAAACCATTCCATTTACAGTCGCCTTAAAAATACCTAGGTATAAATTTAACAAAGGAAGTAAAAGACCTCTACAATGAAAATTAAAAATTACTGAAGAAATAGATAAAATGTCTATTGTTTAAGCCACTCAATCTATGATATTCTGTTATAGCAGCCCAAACTGATCAAGACATGTAATTAAAAATACTAAGAAAAATGTTTATATTGAATAATTTCTGAAACATGTTCATTTAGGTTAAATAATTATAATACAGCCATTACCTAGATATTTATGACTCAGGGTAAGAAGCACAATTAATGATAGAAATGTGTTTCGTTATGAAAGTATACCTTTCTCCCAAACTATCTCAGGCAACCATTACCCTTATTTTTGTTGTAATCATTTGTGGTTATTTCCTTTGTATCCCTAGAAAATATATCATTTGTTTATCTCTTTTAGAAGGTTTTATAAGTGAATCATTCTGTATTATTACTCTGTGAATCATACATATCATACATATTCTTCTGTCACTTTTTTCATCTATAACTGGTTTTCTTTATTTAGGCTGGAAAGAATGAAAAAGGTATATAGAAATCTGAATACATGGACAGAAAAAGCAGATTATTTAGGAAGCATTATTAATCCCAAATTGGGACACAAAGATTCTAAGGTAATTGACATAATACATTCTCCTATGGCTTTTAGTACTTAAAGAGATATTATGATAATTAACAGTGATGATCATATATTACTTATTTGTTATCAACATATGGAATGCTATTTGTCAGCTGATGGACATTTAGGTTGTTTCCACTATAAAGCTATTATGAAAAATATTGCGATGAACATTCATGTGCAAGTTTTGTTTTTTTTTGAGACATGGGCTTGCTGTGTAGCCCAATCTAGTCTTGAACTTACCCAGGTACCCAGGTTGACCTGGAATTTTAAATTCTCCTGCCTCAGCTTCTCAAGGGCACATCACCACACCCAACTCTCTTGTGTAAATTTTCGTGTGAATAAATGCTTTTAAGTCTGTTGCGTATATACCTAGGAATAGAAGCTGCATCATATGGTAATCCAAATTTTTGAAGAATTGCCACACAATTGTTCAGTTCCACAGCAACTGTATCATCTTGCATTCCAAGAAGCAGTATAGGAGGATTCCAAATCTTGACCAACATTATTATTTTCCATTTTATCATCATCATTATTATTTTATAGCCGTCATTATGGGTTTGAAGTGGTGATTTATTGTGCTTTTGATTTGTATTTCTCTAATGACTAATGATATAAGTATTTTTTATGTGTTTACTGGCCAAATGTTTATGCAAATCCTTGTTTTTTTTTTCTTTTTCTTCTTCTTCCTCTTTGTTTTTTTTTTTTTTTTTTTTTTTTGCAGTGCTAGAAATCAAACCCAGGGCCTTGTGCTTACTAGGCAAGCATTGTTATACCACTGAGCTACATCTCCAGCCCACACCTATTTTTAAATGAGGTTATTAGTTTTTTTATCCTTATACATAAGAATTTTTTAATGTATTGTAGATATAAGACCGTTATCAGATATAAAAATAAGGTTTGACATTTAGAAAAACAATCTAATCTATACATTTTTATCTAGAAATAAAGGGTTCGTGCTGTCTCATTGGATAGGTAAACATTGACTAAGATCACAACCTTGCAATGATAGTCATAACATGTTGATATTTTCATGTTTTCAGTTCTTCCATGATAATTGGGCATTGTTGTGCTGCTATGGGATAATTGATTAGTATTTATTAATACAGAATTAGTATTTTAGGAAAGACTTTGGGGATTATTCATAAAAGGACTATGGACTTTGGGTTCTTATTGAAAGACCAGTATTTTATAAAAAGCCAATGTCACTCTATAATTCCCTTTAGACTTTTGTAAAGATATACATCATTTTAAAGTCATAAACCATAATGTAATCCAATAAAAAAATCTGGCCATTTATCTTATACGTGTCTTATATGTTCATTATTCAAATACTCTACATGTTCTCGGATATCAGCTCCTCTTTAAAATAGTGCTCTTTGGATTGCTTTTCTCACAAACTCATTTTCTTATTTTCTATAAATTTAGGGAGGAAAATGTGTTAAAAAGTTATGAAGGCAGAAGAAAATGTTTTATCTTTTTAAATGTTCCTTCCTTCTTCTCCTTCCTTCCTTCTTCCTTCTTCCTTCCTTCTCTCCCTCCTCTCCTCCCTCCCTCCTCCCTCCTCCCTCCTCCCTCTCCTCCTCCCTTCCTTCTTCTTTCTTTCTTTCTTGTGTCTAGGAAGGCAATGTGACTGAGGTACTTGAAAACCAGAGTAATAATCCATATGAAGAAATGTCTGTAAAGATTACATTAGGTAAGAAGTGAATTAGAATTTTTGTCTATTTTTAAGATAAAATCAAGGTATGATATCATCAAAAATTAGTAATTTGCTTGAAGTAGATTTTTGTTAGAGAATAAGTATATATTTTATTATAGTTTTGGTATATATTATTTAGTTTGTAACACTTCCAAAGAAAAGGCTTAGACCCTACTAAGAGTTAAAAAATTTAATGGCTTCTTTACTCCTTTAAAAATGAGAAAATGTTACATCTTAATTATACTCTCTATTTTTGTTAGACATTGTGAACTGTAGAGCTGTTGATCTCTTTTATGTAGAGGGTGTGTGTTTCTGTGATAGTGTAGTGGGGGAAGAAGGAGAGGAAATTAAATTAATATTAAATTTGAGAACTTGCCATGAATTATCACTAAGATAATACAGTCATTTAAAAATCTTTCTCAAGTGATTTACTTAAAAAGTAAGTTAAAGCCAGGTGCCAGTGCCTCACGCCTGTAATCCTAACCACTCAGGAGGCAGAGATCAGGAGGATCATGGTTCAAAACCAGGCTGGGCAAATAGTTCTGTGAGACCCTATCTCAAAAAAACCATTCACAAAAAAAAAGGGCTGGTGGAGTCCCTCAAGGTGTAGCTCTGAGTTCAAGCCCTAGTGCTAAAAAAAAAAAAAAGAAAGAAAGTTAAGTATACCATTCTGCTTTAAAATGCATAATCAACCTTTAAAATTTTTAATTCTTCAGGTATGTCATAGTGGTTCATTTCCATTTCTACTTTCCTAGTTACAGTAGTCTCTCTCTCTCTCTCTCTCTGTATACAGATATATCTATATATATAGATATATATCTATATACACATATAGATATATATAGATATCTATATACATATATAGATACCTATATACATACATATATAGATGCCTATATACATACATAAATAGATATCTATATACATATATAGATATATATAGATATATCTAGGCCATCTACCAGCTTAGAATAGCAGAGCTATTGCATTAGCCTACTCTTTACCTGAACCATGCAAGGTTCTCTCCCTTCCTCCCTCCCTCTTTCTTTTCCTTTCTCTTTTTTCTTTTTTTTAAATATAAAAAAGGAATCAAATCCAGGACCTCACACATACTAGGTAAGCACTACACCACTGAGCTACACCTTCAGCCCTAACATCCAAGTTTTAGGAATAAGATAATCACAGGTTCCCTCTTCAGTATCACTGGGAATATCTGCTATCTTTCAATTGATGGTGGTGGCTTTAAGAAAATTTTTTTAACTTATCCAGTGTTTATTTCAAGCCCACTGGATCGCACTAGTAACTTACTCCATTTTGGTATTCCTATAGCCTCCTATATTCAGCTAATATTTATTGATCACTGAGTACTGAGTACTAGACACTTTTCTAGGAATATATAAATCAGTCCCCACAACAACCATTTAAGGGGGTTATTATTATTATCCACATTTTTACAGATGAGGAAGCTCAAGATCAAGCACATGAAATAGTCAGCCAGTTAGAGGTTACATGGTCATTGACTGATAGAAGTTGAATTTGAACCAAGTCAGTTTGTCCATAGACATCCTGTGTTTAACCATATTCCCACTTGTATCTTATCTATATGTGTATCACATCTATGAAGTAAACTACTATTATTTATTTTACATATGAGACACCACAGCTAGGAAAAATAAGCTGAGGGGAGTAAGTTATCAAGTTTGCAAAGTAGAAAGCCCTGGACCCTTCTTGCCCTCCATGGACACAACAATTGAACAACAATATGCAGAGCAATTCCCTTTATGAGAAATGCAGAACCAATTGACAGGCTCCTGCATCCTGAGCGAGCACAATACCAGTCACATTTTAGCCAGTAGGAATATTAAAGACACTTTGTCATAAGCCCTACCCCTGACAGTACAATATAATCAGGAGGAAACCTCCAGCATCCAGGGTCTGTCTGGAGAGGGTAGGAAAGGATGGGACTAAAAGCCCAGAAAGTAGTCTTGCCTATATCAGAGCACTGACAGGAATTCCGTCCAGCGGCCTGGCCCTGTGAGGAGGCCAGTGGGCGAGGGCCACAGCCTTGCACATAGGCGCTAATCCACCAGGCCTCCATGCCATGGGGGCTCCTTGGAGCCTGGCCTGGGTTGGTGGGCAGTGTAGGAGGCAGCCTGCTTGCCCACGCAGGTGCATCACCCCAGAGTCCATCACTGTGGAGAAAGAGCTTTGTGCTGTCCTCTGCCTCTGATGCAGAATTTGATGCTGTGATTGGATGTTTAGAGGATATTATCATGGATGACAAATTCCAGTTATTACAGAGAAATTTCATGGACAGGTGCTACTGGGAGTTTGAAGACAGAGAGAACAAACTCACCTACAGGTCCATTTTCAATGAATATATTTCTGTGGTAGAAAAGTATATTTAAGAACAGGTGCTGGAGCAGACCCTGGATTCAACATGGCAGCCAGCTTTCACAGCGACATTGCCGCACCATAAAGATGTAGTGGCTGATGACATATTGGGCATGCTGCTCACATTTATGGATTTTCTGGCTTTTAAAGAAATGTTTCTGGATTACAGAGCAGAAGAGGAAGGCTGGGACTGGACTTAAGCAATGACTTGGTGATGATGTCCTTATGCAAATCATCTTCTCCATCAGCTTCCCAGAACAATCTGCGGCACTAGTGTTCCCCTCCCTTCCCATCACACACAACAGATGGGGTTGTGGATGTCACCAGCCCAGTAGGCTGAGAGACTTCAGCTAATAATGAAAGAAGCATGCATCTCCGAAAGACCTGCAGCCCCTCATTCCTGTTATGTATTGATGGATCACAGACAATATGACCTGACTTCTTGGACCTGTTTCTCCTGAATACCATCTTGTATTTAGTCACCCGAGTGCTCCTCTACCTTCCCTATGTAGACACTCTCAGATGCTTGGAGCCAGACTGCTGGCAGCAAGCCCATGTCAGCCATCTCATCTGGGTGGGGGCTCTTCCCCAGAAAACATGTTGGTATGTCAGCATTGTGGAGTACCCCATCATGAACCTTAGTCCTCGCAGGCTTTGCATGAGTCTTTGCGTGCACTCACAGCTCTTTCTTACCTGGGTCAGAGAGTCAGTGGGCTTTTGTTTGCGAGTATTTACCTAGGGAGTTACTCTTGCCAGCTGTCTGTCCTAAGGTTTCTGAATCTTCTGTGGTCATAGCTTGTCTTGGTTATATACATCAATTGAGAGAGGTCTTCTACCTGAAAGCTATATGTGAAAATTGACTCCTGTTCTTACATTTGAAGGCCATGTAATACTATCTTTTAGAGGTCTTGATATAGTCTCACTGTTCCTAGAAATCTCTTTTAAGCATTATTTCAAAAAAATATTTTTATAGA